AATATTTACTTTTAAATTAAAAATTAACAAATGTATATTACTAAAACTTGAGTTAAAATCTACAAATCTGATACCAAACTTATTTTCATAAATTCATAAAATAGTAGTTCAATAAAATTTTGAATGCTAGTCAACAAACACGATGACATGGCCTTTGATGCGTGACCTGTCGCGAAAGGGTTAAAAGTATTCCATTTAATATAGAATAAAGAAAAAAGGGAAAGGAAGTCCTTTTTTCTATATTTATCCTGTGTACAAAGTGATTATTCTTGAAGATGTTTATTTATTTTCCTTACAAGTTATATAAAATATTTAGTTCTTGCACTCTTACTTTCTTGCATTCTATTGAAATTATGTTTAATCATTTAATTTTGTGTGGTTCCAACACAATTATTAAACAATGATCAGTACATTGTAATAGTAAAAGAACTTTGAACTCTGATTTTCACCATTTGCATTTCACCAATTTTTCTTACAACCAAAGAAAAGTGACAAAGAATTGGAACCAAGTGTGAAGTAATTATCAACCATACACTTAAAGGCTCAACATTCAGGGATATATTAGGACACCTTTGAAAATTAAGAATACTAAGGAATTTCAGAAAATGACTAAGGGATATCTGTAAAAAACTTTTAGATAATTTAAAAAAATTAAGAATCTTACAAAATGACTAAGGGGTAAGTGACAAAAGCTTTTAAACAATTAAGAATGCTAAGGAATTAGAGAAAATGACATTTTATGTCATGAAGAGATTAACTATTTTTTAAAATATTTCCCAAATTATTAAATTGCTTTGAATTATGGAATTAGTTTGTTTATTTTTTATTTAAAATATTTTATTTTACATTCTTTGATTTTTCTTTTTAAATTTTAGACTATGTTATTATTATCGTTATTTTGTTATTGATAGTTTAGTGGCACTTGCTTATACATAAAGATGAACTTGGCTGCCTACTTTATATTTTCCAAATTTACATTTTTAAAGGATCATTTCTGTCTTTGTCATTTTTGTCTTGTTGATTGATGATTTAGTATAACTTGGAGTGTATATTATTTGTTTGTACTGTTTTTTAATTGTGAACACATATTTATTCCTTTATTCTTGTATGTAATTAGGTGTTTGATGTTAGCTAGAATTACATTTGGTGGAGCCAAAATAGGGATTTGTAGCTCAAGTAGATAATGTCTATAGTATATCCAACTTTGTATGCTTACCTTGTTTACTATCTCTGTTTGCAGGTTTTTAAATTCCCAATTTAGTTTTCTTGTGTGTCAAACCTTAAGCTTGTTTGTTTATTTTTTTTGCAACTGCATTTTCACTGTAAGCTAGCCATCTTGTTTCTGTATTTTTTATGATTTTTATTCTCCTTTTTAAATTAACAATTTATAAAAAATAATTATTTTTTATGTTCATCATGGACATAAATGTGTATAATAACAATACTGTCTTATTTGAAACAGTTTAGTTTAATGAAATACATATGATGCTCTTTCGAGAAATAATGACAACCTTTGGATTGGCTTCATGCATATTCGATGGCTATTGCTCCTGGTATCTTTGCCACAATGTTATCATTGATAGTGGTATAACATGTATGATCACTATGATGCATGGTAAAAAAAAAAGTTAATTTGGAAAATATAAAGTAGACAGCCAAGTTCATCTTTATGTATATGCAAGTGCCACTAATCTATCACTAACAATAATAATATAGTCTAAAATTTAAACTAAAATAATTTAAATAAAAAGTAAGCAAACTAATTCTATAATTCAAAGCAATTTAATAATTTGGGAAATATTTTAAAAAGAGTTAATCTCTTCATCACATAAAATGTCATTTTCTATAATTCCTTACCATTCTTAATTGTTTAAAAGCTTTTCTCACTTGCCCCTAATAGTCATGTTTATTTTCTAAAATTCTCTCGTTTTACTCAAGCTACAAATCCCTATTTTGGCTCCATCAAACATAATTCTATCTAACAGCATAGAGTCAAAACAGGGATTTGTAGCTTGAGTAAATAATGTATCTCCACCATTATTTGCTTACCTTGTTTACTATCCCTATTTGCAGGATTTTAAATTTAAAATTTTTTATTTATCTTGTGTCTCAAACTTTAAGCTTGTTTGTTTCCTTTTTTTACAACTGTGTTTTCACTTTAAGGTAGCTGTCTTGTTTTTATATTTGTTTACGATCCCTATTCCCTTTTTTAATTAACAAGTTTTGATAATCTTGTTTGTTGGTGCTGTATTTTAGTTGAGAACTCATAATTATGCCTTTATTCTTGTATGTAACTAGGAGTTTATATTACTTGTTGGTGATGTCATTTAATTATTAACCCACATTTTTGACTTTATTCTTGTATTTAACAGTGTTGAGGTTCCCCAGTGGATCAGTAGTAAGTTTATAGACTTGAAATACTAAAATCTGGGATTCAATTCCCCATGGTGGACAGAGTGCAGATTGCCTGCTGGGTAGCTTTGTGCTAAGAAACAAACAAAAAAACAGTGTTGAGACTTTAAATTGTGTTGTATATATGAGTAGGTTGTGTGATTTGCTACATGCTAGGTTTCCTGTTTAGATTTATATTAGTGACTTTATTCTGGCATTGTTTGCCTAGGCTGTAAAGAGAATGAGTTTTTCTTTAACTTTCAAATAAATTTCTTGACACAACTCTCTTAGTTTTTTGTCACGATTTTATGTATATGTATGTGGGCTGAGGATTCTTCTACAGTAGGTGTCTGTGACTTGTTGGCAATAAATGTCAACAATAAACGGACAAGACACAATCCACTTGTTTTAAAATGATGTATTCAAAACAAGTCAAATGTATGTACAAAAATCCTTTACACTATAGGATAACACAGCTATATCTAAAACTTTAAAACATTCTTTTTTTTTCATCAAAAATCCACACAGGCTGATTCAATTACTTTAGAATCCAATTGACAAGATGAATTATTTTTTCCATTCTGTTTCCTGCTGTACAATCAGAGATAAATTCACCTACATTACCCCATGGGTTACCACAGTTGTTTCTTGAACTTCAAATAATTGTCTCCTTTCGTCAAAGTCCACAGAGATGGGTTCAATCACTTTAGAACACCGTTTGACAAGATAAATTATTCTCCTTATCTTTATTAAACTGTGAAACTCACTTTCAAATAGCACCTGTTATGGCTATTCACTTACAT